TTTGTCACTGATAATATTATTACAAACAGGCGACGTGTCTCTCTGGCATAAACACTCGTGAATGAGCTTTGACAGTGACAAATAAACGGCATCTCAAACGTCCTCTGGATAATTCAGATTAAATTACACATGTGAGACTTTGAGGATTCAAGCCATCAGATGAGTTGTTCCGTTTGTGTTATGTTAATTGACAATTTGATATTCAAGGAATCATTCACACAAAAGTGAAAAATCTGCCATTTTCAGTGTTGGGGTAGTTACTCAAAAAAAAAAAGTAATTAGTTACTAGCAGTGATGGGAATAACGGCGTTATAAAATAACGCCGTTACTAACGGCATTACTTTTTCCAGTAACGAGTAATCTAATTGATTACTCTTCTCATCTTAACAACGCCGTTACCGTTACTGCCAAAAATGCGTCCCGTTACTATAACAACTGATGAAGCTGTTTTTTTTTTTCATCAGACCAACTAGATCTCTGAGCGAGAGGCACACTTTTTTACTGTTCTTCCATTGAGCACGAGACAAGCGCATAAATGCTGACGATTGCCTGAGGTAGAGTAAACTGTCACTGTAAGCCTATCAGAGGTAGAGTTGGGCGGGTGTTCTAAAGCACGCATAGTAGTGATGAGCATTCGGCTCTTTTGACTCTGCTCTGAAAAGAGCCGGCTCTTTTGGCTCACAAACGGCTCTTTAAATGACTTTGACTATAATATTTCACTTTTTATTATATAATTATTTAATTTCTATAGGCTAAATTTGTAAAAATAGAGTCGGCTCTTCAGATATGCGAGCCAGCTCCCGACGTTCAAATAAAAGAGTCGGCTCATTCGCGAATCGCGAACGACCCATCAAAAGCTCATTCGCGAACGAGTCGATCCATCATCACCTACGCTCCTCCGCGAACGACCCATCATCACTATCGGCTAACGCTCATGAATTGCGAACGACCCATCATAACGCATAGTCGGACAGGAATAACGGACACAAGGAATAACACAAGCCAGTCAGTCAACGAGAGACAGGTATGCCGACGAGCCCAAATAATCCAAAAGTAGCCTTCTCTAAATGGTATTGCTTATGTTAAGTTTTCATTTCCGTCTGTCATGTCCATGCACAATATGTTGCGATGATCCATCCTCTAAAGAACAATCCAGATACAATTTCTCAGTGTTATTTATTTGTTAGTTTTCGTCTCAATGCGCTGGCATAACATCAGTGAGCGAGGGAGCAGCAGCACGACATTCATCTCAAGGAAGGAACACAAGTTGAGTCAAAATAAAAGTCCCCATTTGTTCACACATGCGCACAATGAACTCTTGCACATTTTTAGTAACAGTAAATAGCATAAAGTAAAAACAAAATAACAGTAAGAAACATAAAATAATATAGTTAATGAGAACATATAACTCAACAGCTTAACAAACTTAATTTAATTTTGCCCAGTTGTGGCCTGTTGAGGGGCAATAAATATCAAAAGTTCCCAAACATCTATTGTGTTATTTGCATTGATCCACTATATAAACATAATATCTACATACATGGCATTTGATTGGAGGCTACTCTCACTTTGTCCCACATCAACATTTTTTTAGATGTGTGTACAATGTTTCATGTTTCTGTTAATGTATTGTATTAAGTGTCCATTTCATTATAAAATTCAGATTTTTCATAAATAATTGAACATGCACATGTGTTTAAGTTCCGTTAAATAGGGGTAGAGGTGGGTCACATTTGAGCATTTAAAATTTAATTTTACTTGAAAGTAACGCAATAGTTACTTTCTTAAGTAACTAATTACTTTTTAAAATTTGTAACTACTTTAATTTAGTTACTAATTTAGTTACTTTTTGGAAGAAGTAACTAGTAACTGTAACTAATTACTTTTTAAAAGTAACTTGCCCAACACTTACTAGTTACTTCTGTAAATTGTAATGAGATTACTTTACTAGTTACTGCATTGGAAAAGTAACTTCACTACTTACTTTACTTTCCCGTTTCTTAATTTACCGTGTAGATACACGGACAAACATCATAGCCTATCATCACTTTTTGCCCTATCATCACCTTATTGTACAATTGCTTTGGGAGAATAAAACTCTTCTCCTGAGAACAAAACCAGCTTTTTATTCGACTCATGGCAATAAAAAACAAAACAAAAAATGAAGAGGTCAATGAAAAATAATAAAATAAAGGTTACTTTATCCCATAAATTCTTAACCTTAATTTAAAATGCATTTTCTAAACCTAAACTTGGGGATTAATGGTCGACAGGGGAAGCATGTCTTCTACAATGAACCCTGCAACAATCCTGTTCATTTCGTTTTGTGTTATCCAAGAGTTCTGAGAGTTGTTTACGGTTGCGCAAGACCCCATTTCACTTGAAGTGCACGGCTTTTTTGTGGTGTCGCATCCGAGGATGAACGACTTCAAGAAGCCGAATTTGCACCTAGCATGTAAGTTAGCCTACATCTCCGCAACGGCACCCAGTTTGCGCATCTAAATCAGTTATTTATGTTTTCAAAATGAGCCTAAGATCCATGTTTTATAAAATATCCACAAAACTTAATGAAATATTTAGTGAAATTAGAAAATAGTGATCGTTCATTTAGTTCTATAGCCTATATACATGTTTTTATATCCACATATTTTGTTCTAATGTCACAAGTAATAATCTTAGGGTTTACAAGAGTAGCCTACATTTCACACAAATATTTTTGTCCTTTCGAGCAATAAACTGAAAGTAATGTGAAAGTAATGTGTCTCCATCTTCACTTCCCTCTCTCCTTCACACCGGCAGCTATGCCACTCTATGGCAACGGTGCGCACGCACCACTAGACGGAACTTTCCACACAGGCAAACACGGGTTGGGTAACGCAGGAAATCGCGTTCCTATAGTAAAGTAGTGTCGTTACCAATATTTTAGTGTAATGCGTTACTTTACTTCGTTACCCAAAAAAGAAATATTGTTACTGTAATTCGTTACTTTGTAACTCGTTACCCCCAACACTGGCCATTTTGAATTACTGGCATTACATTTCAAATGTTTTAGATGCAAAAATCCACAATTTGTCGAATTTCCATGTAACAAAAGTTAAGAATAGCATCCAAACTAAAAGAAAAGTACAAAACCACAATAAAAGTTGTTAAATTCCATGCTTTCTGAGGTCATGGTTGTTTTATAAAAGACTTAGTGCATGAGTCGATATAGAGTAATGCTATGATGTCTTATCTTCTGTTTTTCTTCTTTCTTTTTTTTTTTTACTAATGGAAAAAAGTTAAATGAAGATTCTTCAATGTTCTACTTTTGTGTTGAATAGAAACATTTTTGTTGACTAGGTAAATGATTCACAGGACTGATTTTTTTATTTATTTATTTTTTTAAATACATTTTTCACATGACTGTAAAATTTCACCCCAAATATTTTTGAGGTATTTATTTATTTCAGAACATATACTAGCTAGGGTTGGGTATCGAGAATCGAGTATCGATTGGAACCGGGACCAACTTTTCGTTTTTCCCGGAATCGTTCAAAAGTTAAAATTTCGATTCTTAGTTTCGATATTCACAGCCCGCCGAGCGGAAGAAGAAACCGCTGAACAACACCAACGAAGAAGCGTCTACCGGAAGTGTTGGCATAACCGCGCGAGTCGAACATGAGTAGCTTACGTCGGCGGTCCAAAGTGTGGCTTCACTTTTCTAAAAATAACGAAATCTCGGCAAAATGCAAAATTTGTGACAAAAGGAGTATTTGTGACAGAAGGAGTATTTCCTTCTGAAAGGATTATTTCCTTCCGAAAGACCGTTGGTTAGCAAGGTTAGCTAAACTTTTTTGACCCTGCCTCTTAAAAGAATCGGAATTGAGAATCGTTAGGAACCGGAATCGAAACAAGGAATCGGAATCAGAATCGTTCAAATTTAAACGATACCCAACCCTAATACTAGCATTCAAAAGTTTGGGGTCATTAAGATTATTTTTTGAAAGAAGTTTCTTATGCTCACCAAGGCTGCATTTGTTTGATAAAAATACAGTTAAAACAGTTAAATAGTAATACAATATGTAATTTATTCCTGTGATGCAAAACAGAATTGTCATTATCATCACTCCAGTCTTCAGTGTCACACGATCCTTCAGAATCATTCTAATATGCTGATTTCCTCATCAAGAAGTGTTTCTGATTATTATCAATGTTGAAAAGAGTTGTGCTGCTCATATTTTTGTGGAGACCGTGGTTAAAAAATGTTCAGGATTATTTGATGAAGGGAAAAAAAACAGATCTCATTTGGACAAGAAAACTTTTGCAACATTATAAATGTATTTACTTTCACTTTTGATCAATTTAATGCACCCTTGCTGACTAAAAATATGAAAAAAAAAAAAAAAAACATTGTACTGAATCCAAAATTGTGAATGGTTGTGTAAACCCCTGCATTTGTGCAAAAAGCTGACATAAAACATTCCTTGTTTCCTTTGTAGCTTTATCTGCAACAATTAAACTCAATTCACTGAACAGTGAAGCTGGTGCGGCTTTCATTTATCAGTAAAGACGAAGACGGGCGTAAAGAAAAGCTAACAGAGTAAATAGCACAGCTCGTACGCAGGTATTCCTGCAGGTAGATGGATGCGACACTTCGCTCTCATAACTAAAGATACAGAAGAGCGAATCTATCATGGCCAAACGCTATCATTAGCTATCTGGCAACTTACTCATTTTGACAAAGTGCAGCACTTACATAGTTTATCACAGAGCTCACAGTAACCAAAGTCATCACACAAACTTTTACACGCACACACACACACACATACAGCAGATAGAAATGGATGAGTTCAAATGAAGGAGAGACTTTTAACTGCGGGAAAAAGAAGGGAATAAATCAGTTATTACGTTGACGTTTCCCACTGAGCTGCAAGAAAAACTATGTTGTAATGTTTAGGGTGATGTGATCTCTGAAAAAAAAAAAATGGATTTAGGGATGTTAATATTGTTCTGATACATACTGTATGGGACGCACTCATACTGTACTTCTAGGTATTTGTATGTTCCAGGGCAGGGATCAGGAAACGCATCCGGTCCAGCCACGACTGCGCACTGCGTCCGGTTATTACACCTGAAAACACACAAACAGATGGAACAATGATCATTAGTGGGATCATTGATATTGCTGACCTTTACGTATAACCTTTAGTAATGCACTTTGGCACGTGCTGTAACTCATCCTTCACTGTTTGAGTAAAAAAAAAAAAAAAAAAAGATTTTGGATGGATTGAACCACAAAACCAGAATATAGACTTGAGGTCGTTTGACTTGGGCCAGTCACTGTCCAGAACCGTTCGCGGTATCCATCAAACGTCCCTAAGTATGCTATAACAAGCATTTTTGCAAGAAGCAACACAAGCATTTTCGTTCAAAATCTAGTTAAATCTTCAATATGGCACTTAAATGGAAAGTTCACCCTAAAAATTAAAATCATTTACTCATTTCCTTTCTTCTGTTGAACACAAAAGACGATGTTTTGAAGAATGTCGGTAACCATACAGTTCATGGCAGGGCCGTCGCCAGAACAAACCAATTGGGGGGGCATTTAATTTTCATAGGGGGGCACACTTTTTTTAATGATCTGAGACAGACCAAAACAACAACCCATATTAGGCTTCAACTAAAATAGACCACAATAGTCTTGTTTTATTCATTTTATTTAAATAAAATACTTCACTCTATGATCTCAACGTCATTTCCACATATAGCTTGCTAGCCTAGTAGCCTATATTTTTGGTTAATCTGCATAGTTCGTCACATACACAACACAGTGCCATCTAGTGGCTTTCTTGTAAAAGGCGCAATCAACGTAATATCATTAGTCCAAAGTCCAAACTAAGTAAAACTACGCCAAAACCAAATTGATTTATGACTCTACACTTCATAAAAATGAGTCACAAAAGCACCTGGTTTCCACCAACAATACAGCAATAATAAAAGCAATGCATAACATACTGCAATACAAATTTAGCAATGTAGCAGACAAATTCTCTATTCTTACCTTTATTATACTGTCTGTTCCTACCATCTAATTAGCTCCAGAGTCGTTTCCACGCACGTTGTTGTTGGTCAAAAGTCGTCTTTGTCAACGACGAAACTTTAAACCACTTAGCATAAGCTTTGCTGTAGGCGTACAAAACCATAGACTATGTACAAAACCACCAGAATTTGATTCTCGCATCGCATGCACTGCGCAGCTGCGCAAAGGAATTACGTATAAACAATACTGTATGCTTAACTAAATAAATTGCATTGTTTATATTATTTATTTATCCTTAAACACAAACTGCATATTGTAATTTGAAGAAGTAAAAATACTAACACAAAAATAACAAATTGAAAGGTCTGCTGCTGGAGACTTGCCATTGGCTGTTGAATGTGAATAATTAATGAGGTAGGTCTTTGCAAGGTTTGGGTGCTGTTTTGGGATGTTTTAACAGTCATTTGTGAAAATAATTATATTTCAAGTTACGTTCTGTGTAATAATGCGTTGAATAATGAATTTCTAAATCATTTCTGAAGATAATGTATTATACATTCCTACCGTTGTAGAGCTTACTGTTCCTGTGAGATAAGTTATGCAGAAAGATCGAGCTCTGCTCGATATAATTATTAGCATATACATAGTAACATCTATTGTCAAGCTCATGCGTAGGTGGGCACAGTAAGTCGTTTGGGGGGGCACTGCCCCCCAATGCCCCCCCTTGGCGACGGGCCTGGTTCATGGACATTGACTTTCAATAGTATAAGCAAAAAAAATAAAAAAAACCCTACTAAGTCAATGGGGCCCAACAAATGTTTGGCTACCAACATTCTTCAGAATATCTAATTTGAGTGATGATGATGATTTTTATAATTTATTCATACAATTAAGACTTCATCAAATCAAAAAGGACATTTACTTAATAAATGTCTCTGCTTTTAGTGTGGTTCATTAGTGCACACTATTCATCATTTTTCAGCAAAATATACATAACTGTTATGACGCACATCATGTAAGACATCATGATGTTAAAATTCTGCCTTTGTAGAAGCTTTTATGTTTTTCATTTTCTTTCACACACATGCGCGTGCGGCCGTGCACGTTCATAACGTGCATTGCAAAGTAACGTTTTGGGGGAAAAAAATAGTAAATTATTATTTTATTTATTTATTTTCACAAACAAAGCACTTATGTCAAAGCACTTATGTCGCTTCATAAAATTCAGATTAAACCACTGGTCACGTTGATTACAAAAACGATGTCTTTACTATCTTTCTGGGGCTTGAAATGATTAAAAAAAAAGATTGTTCCGAAGATGAATGAAGCTCTAACAGATTTGGAAGGACATGAGGGCGAGTAATTAATGACAATTTTCAATTTTGTGTCAACTTTCCCTTGAAATATATTCTTTTAAAGAATATTATTTCCATCATCTTAAAAAAGGTCTGCTAAGGGGTACTTCTTTTTCCACAAGGGTGAGTAAATGATGACATATCATAGCTATGTATATATTTCCGCAAAAGAGTGCAGCAAAATCTGTACTGGATGACACATTTGTACGGTGAATTTTACCGTATCATAGATTATTAGGTATGATCCGCCCAATACATTATTTTCTGCTGAATATCCAGTTTTCCGCAAAAAATTTGCCACGGTAAAGATTCAAATCGAGTTTTGCAAGAATCATGGCGATCTTTTAAAGATGAAATCTTCCATGAAGCTCAATGTCAGAATAATGTCAGCAGATCAGCGTGTGATGAAAGTAACACCTGAGACACTCGAGGCTGATTCATTGAACAGTTAGCATGTGGCTAATGAGGGGGAACAAATGGTTTTTGAGTGGCGGGGTGTGTGTGTGTGTGTGTGTGTGGCAAAGAACTTGAGTGTGTATTTCTGTGCAAAGTGCATCAGAGTCTGTGGATCAGTGTGCATGTGAAACTGTGACTAATATTTAGAGGACAAAAGCACCCATGTGCAAAATCAGACTGAACGCATTTACTGCCATTTCATTATGCAAATACACCTTTACTTAGCTATCTAAATGAGGAATCCCAACACACCTTTTAACGCTAATTATAACTTAACAGGGATACTCTCTGCCTTGTTAGAATTTAAATCTGCAATACTAGTAAAATGTACAAATTATATGATTTTTTTTTTTTGAAGTTAAAAGAAAATGTAAATAAAATATACATACAGTACACTATCGGTTTGAAATAATTAAGATTTGTTTTTTTTAAAAAAGTCTCTTATGCTCATCAAGGCTGCGTATGTTTAAAAATGTGAATATATTGTAAAATAAAATGTATTCTTGTGATGAAAAAAAATTACTCCTAATATACAGACTTGCTGCTCAAGAAGCATTGCTTAAAGTCCCTGTAAAGGCAATTCTACAAAAAAGTTCTAAACACATTATAAATGTTACATATGCATTGCTAAAACATATTACAAAGACTGTGAACTGTGAAGTACTGAAATGTGGAGTTAGACTGTTAAACAGTTTTTCACCATTGCAATTTTACGGATTAATTAGGCGGGGCTAAAACAGGGCTCGATGACGCACTGGAGCCCATGAGCTGCTGGACACCCCCCTATTTAATGACACTGAGTCTGATCTCCCCCTCTCCACACACACACTCCCCGAGCACATTCACATTCACCGCTCAATCGCGAGTGACTGTCAGTACTATTAGTTACTACAGCTGAGCCTACAGTTTTCTAGCTAGCTATGCCTTTGACACGGACATGCATGGGCTACTACCTGGATGCGATCATGTACAAAACAGATCGGTATCTTCATTTAAATTCCCCTAAAAACGATCACATCAAGAAGAGGTTTTTAGAGAGCCAACCTTGTTGATGAAAAGCTGAGGATCACCCCCAACACCTGCTGCTGTAGTGATCGTTTTACACTGGATCGTTTTATAAACTTTCCTCAGAGACAACTGGGATTCACTGATAATCCGCTGTTACTGGTGAACGGGGCCGAAACGACGATCTCCCGCCTCAGTGTTCATCCTCCCGTCTCCAAAAGCTAATCAGCTAATATCACCGTCAACAGCTTTCCTGCTAGTGGGCGTGGTTTCAACGGACACGCCCCAGCGTTTGAGAGCAGAGAATCTGCTCATTTTTTTCATGATTTCGATAGCTTATTTTATGTACTTGCCGGCTTTTTTTATCATTCAAATTTGGCTGGGTGGCTAATAACACATTTTTCTGTGGTATGACAGACTCAGAACACATCCTTAATTTTGACTTTACAGGGACTTTAATATTATCCGTGTTGAAAAGAGTTGTGCTGCTTGATATTTGGGTGGCTCCGTCACTTGGAGGTGGCTCCACCACTGGTCCTGTGGTGTTTGGACTATTTATCCCCCAGACCACAGTATGTACGCCAGCAGAACAGTGTCTCAAGCACTGTTCTTAGCAGCACAGGGGTGCCACACAGCGGATTTTCAATACAACACCGGCAGATGCTTCTTGCAGAAATTCTCAGATGACACCACAGTTGTTGGCCTTATAAGAGGAGGTGATGAGGAGGTGTACAGAGTAGCATTCGACAACTTTTTGCAATGGAGTGTGAACAATCATCTCCATTTGAATACCACAAAAATCAAGGAGATGGTTTTGGACTTCAGGAGGGGGAGGAGTAGGATCCAACCAACACCTATTACCATCGGAGGCACTGAGGTGGAGCTGGTGACCACTATAAGTACCTTGGTGTGCAGCTTAACAGTGAGCTGGACTGGAAGAGCCATATGGAGGCGGTGTACCGCAAGGGGCAACTTATTTTTTAAGGAGGTCATTTGATATCTGTCAACCCTTGCTCTGCAGTGTCTATCAAACAGTGGTGGGCAGTGCTCTGTTCTTTGCTGTGGCTTGTTGGGATGACGGCGCCTGCACAGCAGACAGAAACAGAGTGGACAAGATCATCAAGAAGGCTGGCTCAGTGGTCGGGACTGAACTAGAGAAGGTTCAGCAATGGCAGAGGCCAGAACATTAAATAAACTAAGATCAATATTGACCAACCCTGCACACCCAATCCACCACCTGAAGGTGATAAACAGCACCTTCAGTCAAAGACTAAT